TATTTTATTTTGTTTTATTTTATTTTCTCCCCTGGATTAAGCTGCGTGTGTTGGCCGCAGCGTTCTCGCTCCGATTGGCTTCGGTTCCTTACTGTACATCTGGTCTTCATCTGGAGCTAAAAGGATAAACATGTCTGGTGCTTGGGAACTGCTGGCACGTTGGAGCCCTCTCCTTTGTGCCTCTCTGCGAGCGTCGATGTGCCACGGCTCTCTTCATCCTGTCAGACCCAGCAGATCCGATTGACTCCAGTTAGTCACGTCATTGGAATGTCTCTCATTACATATTAATCTTATTCCCAAAGAATATTGAGTGAGCTTTGCAGAAATCTGAGGGGTTTTTTTGTTTTGCAGCTCAAAAATTCCCCTTTGCCTTCAGCTGCTTCGCTTCCAGCTGCTCCGGATCCATCCAAACCTCCTCCAAGAAGTTTTACTCTCCTTCTCGTTGTCCTCCTCAAAACATCTGCAGAAACACCCACATTTTCTTCCTAAATCTCACCAAAACACTGGCCAGGCTTCCTTTGGTGGAGAGGTTCATCTTTACAAGCAGGTTTTGGCACAAGGCTTGAATTTGTGCGGGTTCAGCCGGTGTCAGAGCCGGGGTGGTGGGATGAGGCTGCATCTCCTGGGGTTTGCATGATGCAGCGGGGTGGGAGCGAGTCCCCGTGGCTGCAGGAGCTGTTGTCACTCAAGCATCTCCCAGCTCAACCTCCTCCTTGCTTCATAAACCTTAACCTGCCTCCTTTTGACCTCTTCTCTCTGCAGCCAGTGCATCACTTCACAGCTGGACGAGCTCCTGTGTCCTCCCACCACGCCGGAGGGTCGGAACGATGAGAAAGCCCTGCTGGAGCAGCTCGTCTCCTTCCTCAGCGGTAAAGACGAGACGGAGCTGGCTGAGCTGGATCGAGCTCTTGGGATCGATAAACTGGTCCAGGTAAAGAAAAGAATCACTGGTGGGATTTGCTGGAGGTCACATACAGGGGACAGATGCTGAGGTTTGACGTGAGCGTAGAGGAGGAATTCCAACATCTGGTGGTAAGGAGAGGCCAGATGTGAGTGGGAACACACGAGCGCATCAGATTCAGAGACGATACTTAACACCCCGGCCAAAAAAGCTGGAAAACAGCCCCGTGAAACACAAGCTCTCCCTTCTCTGCTTTTCAAACACCATTCCCCATGAGAACCAGCAGCCTGGCAAAGAGACGGCCGAGCGGTTTCTCCTCATGTAACGGGGGAGAGTTGGCAGCCTGTCCCCCTTCCCCACCTTACCAGGGAGAGGGATTAAGGGCATGGAGGAGCCTTCCAGCTGGAATCCCACAGCCTGGGATTCCTGAGCTTGGGTTATGCTGCCTAATAATATATCTAATGGCCTCGTTGGTATGAAACCGTGCAGCTCTGAGACTATGGAGATTGGTTTACAGTGCAGCTGCCCGTCTGTCTCGGGTTGAACCACAGGGGAAAAAAAAACACCAACCCCCCAAAAAAAATCATAATAATTATAAGAGGTTTGATTTTAGTGGTGCTGGTTTACTGGGATAACACTGGGGGCACTGGTTTCTGCCGTGGAGATTCCCTGTTTGCAGATATCCGTGGGGAGAGATGATTCTGAAGGGTTCAGGGTATCAGAAAGAAGAGGGTATGGGCGAGGGGGGAAGCTGAGTGCAGGGGAGCGAGCGAGGGCTGTGGAAAACGAGACGGATCGCTTGGGATTTGTCTTCGGAGCGGTTGCCTGTTTTTTTTCCCGTGCCCCATGGAGCGCTCACGCATGCTTTTTCCAAAACAAGGAACAGAATGGAAAGTCTGTTCATAAATGAGATGTCCTAAGAAAGAAAGAAATCCCTCCGGCTGCTCCGGGGTCTGATCCTGCAGCGCTTTCAGCTCAGAGGTGACACAGTTTCTTCTACAGCCCCGACGTGATGCTTTGCGCTGCGCTGCGCTGCTGGGAGGTTTTATCTGTTCATCCTAAAATCATAGAATGGTTTGGGTTGGAAGGGACCTTAAAGGTCATCTAGTCCAACCTCCCCAAGCCATTTGACCTGTCACTGTGTTGATTCCCGAGTCAGGTATTTCACAGAATCCCAGACTGGTGGGGTTGGAAGGAACCTCACGAGATCATCCAGACCAACCCCCCTGACAAAGCCGG